AACCACCCGGGCCCGGGAGGGAACCCTGGTGGGGGGGGGGCAGGAAGTGGGAGCGGCCGCAGCGGGAGCAGCCACCCACGGGGCCCATAGCGTGGTTTTGGGCCTACGGGGGGAAATTTGCCCTGACTCAGAGGGAGAGCAGGGCTGGGGAAGGAGCTGGGGGACTGGAATGCAGAGCCCAGGTGAGATTATGGGCTCTGGTCCTTCTGGGCCCAAATCATCAACATCCCCACTTCCCACGCCCAGACTCCCTTCCCATCACCAACTCCCCCATAACACAGAGACCCCTAACTTCCCCACATCACACTCAGACCCCCATTTTCCCCCATGTCACACACAGATCCCCCATCTCTACCATATCACACTCACAGACCCCCATATCACACACAGATACCCCACAGGTCCCCATTTAACTCTCCATATAGACCTACATCACACATTCAGGTCCCCATCTCTTCCCATTATGAGATTTCCCTTCCCTCCACTAGCTATGTGAGTCGGGGGTCAGGCCTCCTGGGCCAGGAGCCAGAGACATGTGCACTATGCTGTGGGTGGGAAGGCAGTGCTGTCCCAAGCCCCCATACCCAGTTCTGTCCTGTGCCTGGAACCAAGGGCCTGTCCATCTGTGGACCCATCTGTGCAGCTCAGCCTTGTACCCAGACTAACCTTGTTCTGTCTGGTCTCCTGGGACCCACAGGATGCTAGGGTATGAGGGCTGCAGTGCTGTGCCTGCCTCATGCCCTACAGGGTAGCTAGACACACTGATATAGAAGCCAGGTACCATTGCAGCCTGGGTGTGTGTGTCCCCTCTCACCCCGTTGTGCTTGGTGGGGTGTCCTGGGAAGTTGCGGGTGTGAATCCTGTTGCTGGTGCCCTGGGTCAGTGGGTCTCAACCAGTGTCTCTCCTGATCAGTGATTCTCAACTGGGGGTGATGACCCCCAGAAGGGACCTGGGATGGATTTGGGGGTATCAAGTGCAGAACTGGTGTTAGGGGAGAGCCAGCATGGCAATCGCATTGGGCCGCCTGTAAAAATAAATTCCATATTCAGCCCTGAGCCGTGGGGCTCAGGCTTCAGACAAGTGAAAAGCAAGCTCAGGTCTCACACTGAAATGTAAGTATATGTACATTCCAGTCGATTGATTTGATGCTCTATGGTACAAATGCTAAAGTCAGTGAGTTCTCGGTCACCGTGTGCTGCAGCCCTTTGTAAAACCTGGGGGTGTGCAAGACAAATCTGACTCTGAAAAGAGAGCCACTGCTCTGGGGCACCGATCCCACCAAAGGAAGCTGAGGAGTCCCCCAGTGAATCCTGGTGGTAATAGATCTGGGCTGGGAGTGGGGATAGGGGAGTTGGGACTATGTGGTAGTGCCCTGCATCTCACTGGGGGTGGCTGGCTTATTCTTCTGCCTGGTGTGGCCAGTGGCCCTTGGACCAGGCTGGGTGACTGTGTGTCCTGGCAACGCAACATCAGTGCCATGAGGGTCAAGGAAAGAGGAGCCACTCACTTCAGACCAGGATTTTCCATCTCCCAGGGTGGCCTGTCCAACCTGCTACAAACCAGCCACTTCAGATGCTGCAGAACCCCTGCTCCCCCACCCAGGGTCTGCCACCAGTAGCCCCCACAAACCAGCAGCTCCAGATATTGGCTGGAGCCACCTTTCACATACAGACTCTGCCCCCCAGCCAGAGCCAGAACTAGGCATAAGCAGATTAAGCAAATGCTCAGGGCCCCAAGCAGCTCAAGAGGGCCCCCTATTTGATTTTTATTGTAAGACCCTTACTTGCCTGTTTTAACATGGCAGGGGAAGGCGGAATAGCCCTGCCTAGGGCCCCCCTGTGGCCTAGAACTGCCACTGCCCGCAGTCTCTGGCTCCTCCAGAGGTGGCTGGGGCAAAGTCCCCTCCAAACTAGTGCCAAGGGGTTTCATTTCATCCCATGGTGGGGGGGGGGGGGCTTTCCTCCCATCCAGTGTCACCCATCCTACTGGTAAGAAGGCTCCTGGATTCTATCCTGGGCTTAGGGAGAGGAGTGGAGTGGAGCCTAGTGGTTAGAACAGGAGGCTGGGAGCCTGGGGTAATTTCTCAGCTGTGGCGAGTCCTTACAGTGTGTGGGAGTGATGTGTTTGGGAGCCAGGAGCCTAA